AGCTACAGTAGTTGGTTTAGGGTCGTAGTTAGCAATTTGTTTGCTCAGTTCTGCTCAACAGTTCTCATTGGGATTAAAATCTGGAGACTTTTCTGGTCATAGAAATCTTATAACATCCTCTTGGTCCAGGTAATCCTGCACAATACACGCACTGTGGGCAATGGCAATGTCATCCTGGAACACAAAGTTGTTACCACATCTCGCCCTAGCATATTGCAGAAATATCGTCTCCATGTGATACTAGTAGGAGGCGCCATTCACGTTTCCCTGGAGGATAGAGGAAGAGCAGTTTTCCACCATGATGAATAGCTGCCCAAACATGTACTGCACCATCTCCTTTGGGAAAGACAGTCTTCCCTCATCTGTTTTCCAGGCAAACGACGAACACGAACCCTACCATCAGCTTTAACAAGCCGGAAACAGGACTCATCTGAAAAGATGACACGTCGACATGTCCTTACTGCAAATTAGCATGCTGTCTTGCCCAAATAACGCAGTGATGGTGGTAAATTCTGGTTAGTATCGGTTCGCAGATAGCCCTTCTTGCAAAATAACCTTGTTTGTTCAGTTTCCTATTTACTGATATTCTGAATGCCCTGGAATAAATGTGTTCATGCCATTCCTGTCGTAAGGTTTTGCAAGACTTCTTTCTACCTTGACGTGTTAACTTGATCAAAACAGGGTCATCTTGGGCAGTAGTTTCTCGACGTCTACCAGTAGACTTTCCTAAAAAAACGTTCCCTGTAGTCCGATGACGTTTCAGAATTCTGGATGCAGTACACTGGGGGTACTCTATTGTTCTGGCAATGTCAGTTTGCTTCATACTATTTCTGGACAGTCGAACAATTTGACGCCTGTAACTTCTGGAGCGTGACCAGGCTTGACTCTACACCAAGTACAGAGACATTGTCTGAACAAAGCGTTGATCTGTTTCGAAAAAGATGATACCAAAAGCACACCCTTTTATACAACACAGATGTGTATGTGCGTAATGACGAACAAATGTTCAAAACAACTTATACAGACCAGAATAAGAAATGTTCAAAACAACTTATACAGACCAGAATAACAACTCGTACGTGTTTGTCCGATCATACGCTAGCTCCTCTGTTACTACTCGAGCATTTACTCAATAACTACTCCATGCATGTAGACAGTAACATCAATATAGAACAGTATGCAAACATTTTGGCCAAGACTGTATATTGCAAAAAAATAATAAGACTCTATAACTAAGACAGAAACACCAAATAAACTGGTACTGCAGGCTTTCCCTTTCGCCAAAGTTCTGATGGAACTCACGTGACGTGAAAACCGGTCACTGCTGGAGATTATCCCTTGTTTCTATACGCTTTGTTTGCTTCTTTTGTTTATTCACTGTCTGCAAGTTTAATTAAGTGAGCCCAAAACAGTCTTGGTTATTGTTAAAGCAGAATTTGAAGTATTTGAAGAAGCTTGTGTGTTCACAACTTAACTGTTTTTATAGTTTTTGAAAACCTGCCAAATCAAATTGTATTGAAGATCAACATTTAAGCAGAAGCTGTGGAGAGGATGAAATTTAAAATTTCTACGATACTTTGTTTCTCATAAATAAAACATAGAACCTACACACACTTAACACATGCGCAATTTTTCTGATCTCTGTATTGTAGAAATTGTGTAATTAATAAAAACTTTGAAGAAACAAATTGATTTTACGTTCCATTTGACCACAGTCTTTCCATTGTATTATGTGCTTTTGTTGTGTAGATCGCATCTAAAACCTAAATCCATCTTTTTTTTCACAGACAAATTGATTTACAGTTCTGCCCAATAGATCAGTGGTTCACTAATAATATCAATTTTTTTAATAATTCACATCCAATACATTCAATTCTGCAAGGCTATGGAGAAGTACTAATATAGTGTAAAGATCTGCAGCTCTAACGTACCATGTCGAAATAATACTTGAAAATAAAACAAATCATTATGTTCGTAGATCGAGAAAAATATCTCGCGTAAGAGTGTAACAATTAAACGTGTTTTATTAGTTTACTCTTCATCATTTTAATAATGTATATTATCTTCTTTTTCTTTTTTTTTACAATTTAATGTATTTAACTTTCGCACATAGAATACTTTTTTGAAAACTGGAGTCTTTTTCGTCGTAACCTTTGTTGTTCCTCAA